TTTGAATATTTCAAACTTAATTAGGAATTATTTTATTGCATCCTTTAATTGATATTTTTTTCTTTTATTCATACAATGGGTTTTCTGACAAATTTTATATCATTAATAATTTTCAAGTCTTTAATTTTAAAATGTACTCTTATTTTTTTTTTAAAAAAAATGGGTTTATTTTATCAAAATCTCAATTTAATTAGTTAGTTTGTAAGATATATATTTTTTAAATTTGTAACTTCCGCCATGTGTAATTTCACAATTATCATTCATTATTTATATTCTGAAATTATATAATAAAAACCACACTATATAATTATAAAGTTATATATTTACATTTGAACTGAGTGGAAATTTAAACTTAAAATTTTTTCCCCTTACAATTGTTCAATTTTTAAGTGGACATTTCTTGTAATAATTGGCACAATAAAGAAAAAAATTTAAAAATATTCAAATTACTTACTTCAACAAATTTACACATATTTTTTCCCCTTCTTTTTTCACTGGAATTGCTAAATGGAGAAATACTTACGTAACTTTATTCTTTTAGTATTTGAANTATATATGTATATATATATATCAGTTGACTTCAGTTGTCTCGTTATTTAAATTTTTTATTGTTATCTGTCATCTTAATAAAATTTTATGCATTGATTAGAATGAATTATAAAGGCGTTATTTATACGAGAGACCCAACTGTATGTATGAATGTTAGGAAAACATGTTTTAAAAATTTAACTCAATGTTTGTGAAAAAATTTCAAAAAATTTAATAAAAGATCTATGTAGTGTTAACAATTCTTAAAATTAAACATTCTCTCCATATCCCGTTGAGGGTCAAGGGATCCTGGAGGTTAATCTGCAACAATTTCGTGTCCAACAGCCATAATGGTGACGAAATATTTCTGTACGATGCGACCTCCAGCTATGAATTTTTTTGCTATAAAGGTAACCCCCTTACCAATTCATCTTTGAATAAGTTTTCAGAGCCCAAATAATAGACTAGATATCTCTATCCTAATATCTCTTTTAAGATACATATACAACAAAAGAGAGGGAAGGGTTATGACACGGAATCGGTCTTCTCCCCAGATGGCGTATGTGAGCGTTGCAATCGCAAATAGTTTCCTTTTGGGCAGAAAATATCAGTTATCCCTGTAACAACAGGTAAATACCAGATCTTACAGGGTTAATGCTGCTGTTAATGTTACCTATTAATAGGTAAAGAACTTTGAAGATCTCCGACTATATTCAATTTTAACTGTCAAAACAGTAAAATTGTACATTTTTAAAATTTTTAGTTAACTTTAGTTGCTATCATAAGTTTAAAAAGATTACTATATTTTTAATTGTGAATAAATTGCAACACTTTTAACTGAATTAGAAAGATGATAAAATGTTAAAAGATAATTAACGCGCGTACTTCTATAATGATAAAAGTTTTAAAAGTTTCAATTAAAAGATCGATAAATATGTATAAAATAAAAAATAGTCAATAGTACCCACTTTATCCATTCAAGTTAAATTAAATAACTCTATAGTTAAATTAAATATATAATCACAAAAAACTGAAGGGGAGGATATTATTTGAGTAAAACTTCATTCGCTTCAAGAATATACAATCTGAAAATTTGTATTTAAGATCGAAATGGGTTGCAGGTGGCGTGGAGCAGAACTTTCTACCTGTGGCAACACTTTACATGCTTTCCCTAGTAGCGTGTGGAGAGTCATAGAGGAAGGAAGTACGTTAGATTCTCTCTTGATTTTCTAATAGATTAAAATCTTTTAAGTTGAAAAACTGTATTGAGGTGAAAACTACATTAAACATAGTTCTAAAAAAAGTATCACGGAAATTACACAAAATATTTCTATTAAATTAAAAGGAAAAATATTAAGAAAAGGGAAAATATCGTAGTACATTCCTATACAACTAAAAAGAGGGAAGGGAGAAGGGCCAAGGGCATGAAACCGGTCTCTCCCCAGATGGCGATTTGAGCGTTGCGATCACCAATAATTTTGAAGCGAACGAAGCTTTTACTCACTTGGCTATGACGTTATATCGAACAGCTCTGTTATAAAAAAATGTTTGAAAGCTTAAAGCAAACATTCTTTCGCTTCTTAACATTTGAGAATCATCTTAGCATCAATAAACGCTTGATATTTTCTTGGCTGTTGATGTTTCCTGGTTGAGCACCAAACACGAAGACATATAAATAATTTTCGAATTTTAATCAAGTTTGATATTTCGATTTGAATTTAAATGTGAACAGCTTCAACAGCAGACTGGCATTCTCTGCTTTTTTCGTTCAAATTGGAATAAGTGCCGTGCTTTAAAATCTTACAGTTAGAATAATATGTCTCTTAATTTACCTACAGTGTATGTACATAATTTAGGAAAACTGTGTTTCAGACAATCTCTGCTAAAACAGAAAGAAGCTGTCAAAACTATTATGCAAAAACTATCTTTGAAACAAATAGAAAAATTGCCTAATTTCTTATTTTTGGTTGAACATAGTCCTGTTTATACTGTCGGCATTCGTAATCAACAATATGTTACTGATAGCGAAAAATTAAAAAGTCACGGAGCTGATTTTGTTGTTACTGATCGAGGAGGATTGATTACATTTCATGGACCAGGGCAACTTGTATCATATCCAGTACTTTATTTAGGAAGTTTTAACTCGAAAAAAAGTGTTAGGTGGTATGTTAGGCAGTTAGAAAATACTTTAGTAGAAACTTGCACATATTTCAATATTAAAGCTGGAACTTCCAAAGATGTTGGTGTATGGGTGGAAAATCGGAAAATTGCAGCCTTAGGTGATTTATAATCCTAAAAGGAAATAATTTATACAGTTAAATCCTAGAATAGCCCACCTCTTGGCAACTTTTTGAAATCTCGCCAAGTGAGAAATTATGACTGGGATCAACGTTGCTTTTGTATTATTAAAAAACACTATTTAAATTATTTAAAAAAAATTTTTAAATATTTTTTCATAGAATAAAAAACTTTCCTTTACTCTGATGGACATCTCCATTCAAAACCATCCACTGTATCCTTTCGCTCAATCAAACTCATTTGTTCTCCACATTTAGGACATTCATACGTTTTCAAAACAAAAATTTGATTCATATGACGTTTAGTCATCTCTTTCTTGCCTTTTGCATACAATAAATTTAAAATTCCACTTGTCCATTTGCTCGCCATTTTCAACCTGTACCTCTAAAATAAATTAAAAAATATATAAAATTAATTAAAATATGAAATAATAACGATAATTCTAACAGCAAGAGATCAGAAGCATGAATGGCAAAAAAATAAACCCTTTTACCTCTTGTCTAACCTAATACAACTTTCGTGTAGGTATACATTTATATATTTATTTGGTTATTTGATATGTATATCAAATAACCAATTAGGCTGAAGAATTTTGGTGGTGTGATCGGACATTCAAAATAGTCTTCCGGAAACTTAGTTTGGCGAAATTTCAAAAACTTGCTTGGCGATATTTAAAAAAATTGACACAGGATGGGCTTTTCTAGGATCCACCCCATTTATGTTGTTTTATACATATATATGTGGGTTGTTTTCTCAATTCGTTTACTTCTATGTCCTTATTTCATATATATTCCCTTTTTTCATATATTTAATTTCGTATTAAAATATTTATTTTCATTATTTGATGGTAGCTATGTTTTGGTAAAAATACTCAGAAGTCGAAAAAAATATTCATCAGAAATTTTGTACTTATATTATGTTTCTTTAAGAAAAGAAATATGTAAGTATGAAATGTCAATACTGTCCCATGTCTCCAACACACATATTTCTGAAATTTTTAAATAATTTATGATACAATGAAAGAGTATCAGAGACATGCATGCATATTCTGATATTGCATGACTGTCTATTTAAATATGAATAAGTAATATTCTTAGAATATTTGTGAATTTTGTTCTACTCATAATTTTGTATGTGTTCCGTAATAAACGCACCAAGTGCAAAAAATTGTAAGTATGCAAAAGAATACATAGATGACTCTAGTTAAACAAAATATAACTTCCAGGTTAAGAAGAACTCTCTTCTCTATAGAAAAATGAAGTTTAATTGCAGTACTATTTCTTTTAGTGTCAATAAGCCTAGTTTAATCTTAAAAATTCTGTGGGTAACTTCATTGAATATAACTAATCTTTCCTTATAAAATTTTAGTTACTAAAAAAATAAACACATTAAAAAAATTTGGAATTTCAGTTTTAATTAATTATCAACATTTCTTAATTTTTGATTAATTATGAGGTTATAAAGGATCAAAAATGAAACCTCTACCCAAGGAAAAAGCAACTGAAATTTTACCAGGTTGTTTTGATGAAAAGTTTTATTGGTTGCCAGCGGAAGGTATACAAAAAATGAAATTATATGTCTTTTAAAAAATGCCACTGAAGCAAATTTCTTCTGATTTCTAAACCATAAAAAATTAAAATGAAATATACAAATTATATTTTGAAATGCAAAACAAATAATATTTATTACATGCTTTTAGGTTATTTTAAAGGTAAACAATATAGTTAAGAAAAAAAATTAACATTGAAGTAAAATAAAAAAAATGGTGTTTTTCTAGTTCAGTTTTCACATAAATTGGTTACCTATATGTTTATTTCTTTATGTTATGAATATCTTGCAGAAAGATCTGCCTCAGGGTATATCAGAACGGAAAGCAGTATTTATCGGTAATGCAACTGTAAGAAACCGTTCAATGACATAGTTCAATATTAATCTTGAAGACATGCAAATTTTTGGCCTTTTAATGGAAAACTGTGTTTCAATAGAGTAAAACACATTTAAAATCAATTATTAAAAATTTGTATTTTATTTATTTATTTTCTTTTAGACAAATATCGTCTTTTGTACTTAAATTTTTATGGCATTTGAAACTGGTAAAAGTGTGAATATTTATTTTTTTCTTCTTTAAGTTTTTAAGATATATTTTTTGTTTTTGTTTGTGACGTCTTTTTCCATCAATTTATTAAACATTCTGTAAAACACTCTTCTGATTAAAACATTCATTCTATTAAAAACATTAATTCTATTAAACATTCTTCTGATTTTTGGCACTCTGTAAGTATTTGTCCATTGTATGTAAATGTTAAATGTCTTACCTAAATGTTTTGTCCATTAATTTCTGAGTCTTCTATTTAATCTTATCAAAAATTCCTAGTTTTGTGTCTGAGTCTTACCTTCAGAACTGTTCACATCGCTTAAATTAAACTGCTTAAGCTAGTCAGTATTTAAAGTTTTTTTTTTTTAAATTTAAGGGGGGACCCCACCCCGAGATGGTAAAATATTAAAGTTTTTCTTGCATTTTTTTAAGTAATAGAGACAATGCAAAGATTACAATTTAAGTCTATTTAAAAAATTTTCCTTTTACAAAATAATAAAAAATAAGTTGGTGGCAGCTCCATGTGTCATCAAAAAGTAGCACCTCACTGGCCTCATAAGTTCAGAAGTCCTGAAACTTAGGAAAATGATTTTGTTTAGATTTTCTGAAACATAAAGACATTATCTAAAAAGTAGCAAATCGGTTTTTTGATATTCTCAAAATTACCAAAATTGCGGCAACTTAAAAAAAAATTGACGTTTTGCATTAAAAAAATATTTATTAAAATACTGTTGTCTTCTTTTACTTTCTATCTCTGTTTGCTCTTCGTTGTGGCGATGAGTCAAGTTAAGAATGATTTCAACAATAAAACAATAAAATTTAATTAAGAAATAAAAGAAAACAAACTACTTCAGCAGCCGAGTGCATTGCTGCTTCCCTATCGTTTCACATCAAAAATCTCTTTCTTACATTTGTAAACAGACACAGTAGTTGTGGCGCTGTGCCACCTGCTGGACAATTCACTATTAAGGGGAAATGTTAACAATACTAATATAAAATCGAAATATTAAAATATCAAAAAAATCCCATGCTACTTTCTAAAGAATATATTTTTATGTAATTTAAAATAAAGAACAGCTTATTTCGTTGTATAGATCATGAGAAAAACGTTAGGCTAGATCAAAAAACAGCGTTTTGAGAAAAATGCAGTTAAAGTTTTGACTTATGATAGGGGAAAACGTTTAATTTCATATATATAATGGTAGATAAATGAAATGCCTACAATAAGTTTCTATAACCAGTCACCATGAGACACAAAAAGAATGTCGCCCCTCCTAATCCGGCCGAACGGGCCTTTCTATTTGCTTAGCGACGACTCTCTATTTTCCGGTATAACTTCCAAACGAAGTTAGGTATTGAGAATTCGTTTTAGACAGACATTAGGAAGGGTACAAAGATTCGAAAAATGCAATAAAATGTTTTTCTTCGAATTTTTGAAATATTCAGGGTGGGGTCCCCCCTTAATATATTGTCTTTTATTTTGACTTTGTCTAGTTACTGTTCTAAATTCTTTGGTTTAATCGGTGTTTAGTTTAATGCCTGTTAAATGTTTAATCTAATGTGGTATTTCTTGTCATTATAGGTATCCATGCCTCCCGTTATGTGACATCCCATGGTGTTTCTCTGAATTGTAACATAGATTTAAACTGGTTTTCTCACATTGTGCCATGTGGACTTGAAAATAAAGAAGTCACATCTTTGTCTAAGGAAACTAAATGTGAAGTAACTGTTAAAGAAACTATACCGCATTTTTTGAATGCTTTTCAAAAATATTTCCCTTGCAATTTTAAATTTGAAAATAATTTATAGCGTTTGTTAAATTATTCAAATAATAATTATAGTTAATAGTTATAAGCTTAGCTAGTTAAAATAAATGGATATTTTTAAATTACCATCTTGCCAAGAGTCTTTCTTTGGTAGTGTAGATTATTTTTGCAGTGAATTTATTGTTACTTTTATAAATCTTACTTGATAAATTTGTTACAAATCAGAATTTTTTTCTTATGCCCACCCATATGCAGTTGAACCTGTTTATCTCAAACTTCTTTATCTTGAAAACCTCTATATCTCAAAATTATTAAAATTCCCTACATCTATTGTCTAAAATCAATGTATTTTCCATGTTTATGTAAATTTTTTTTCTTCAAAACCTCTGTTTCTTGCATTTCTAATATTAGAGCACAAATGTCAAAACTTTCTTTATCAGTAGAACTTGCAGCCAGAGATGAATTTCGTGAACCCACAGGAAGTAGGGATGAACAGGTTGTTTCTTGTTGTGTTTCTTGGAATTTTGACCACTATCCCTGCACTTCCTTAACTAGAAAGGAATGCAATGATTCTGGCAGTAAGTGAGGGGTTAATGAGCAGTGACCACCAGGGGTTAGTTTTTCAACTTAGCTAAGAATAGAAATTCATTTTCACCTCAAAATTGCAACCACTGGATCAAAGTATAATTGGGAGTTTTAAAGTGAACTATAGAAAGCAGTTGGTACGCAAACTTGTAGATGCCATTAATGAAAAAAGTTCTCTTTCAAAAATAAAGATGTTAGATGCTATCAAAATTACTGTTTTGCCTGGAGTATAATGTGTTGTAATAATAATAATGTGTTGACCACTCTTTTAGACAGCAAAATACTAGGTGGGCCAACATTACCTCCACAGTAAGTAGGGCAGATAGTACAAAAAGAAGAAAAGAACATCCATGCCTCTGACTGGGATTCAAACATGAGGCTTATCTGACATAATGTTAGCTCCCTGACCACCATATAGATGGTTGGCCGTAACAAAAAAAGTTATGTGCTTTTCTTTTATTTATCCTTTCTACAAACAATGCAGCTTCTCATGTTGACAATTTTGTAGGTACTAATGTAGAACAGTACAGAGCTACAGATTATAAGAACACTGTTTTGCACTTGTATTAGATGTAGGTGTTTCTGTGGGATGCAGCCTGTGTAATTTTGCTGATTTAGCCATGTGCGCTGACATTTATCTAATATTTGAATCCTTGTTTTATTAATGATGAGATTTGTGCGTTTGTAATTTAATTGGAAGAGGAGCTGATCATTACTGTACTCTATCCCAAAGATTAAAAATTCAAATTATTTTGATAAAATGAATTTATTGCCAATACCTGTATAATCTCTAAATATTTTTCATTGCCTGATGCTTAAATTATGATTCTGTTTAGCATCTTTATAAGTGATAATTGTTTTATTCAGTCGCAAATCATCCAGTTTATATTTAGTAGGAAATAACTTGTCTGTAAAATTTTTTTTGTGCAATTCATAACATGTTTTATCTATATTACAAAACTGATAAGTAAAATAAAGCTAATGTTTTTTAGATAAATTTTTAATCCCTACAATTTATGATTTTCTAGCAGTTTCAATTTTTTCCTATAAGATTAAATTACATTAATCTTATAGGAAATAACTTTATATAAAGTAAATAACATTTGTTTAGCATTTAATTTCATCTTGTATTCAATTAGTTTTTAGTGTGGTCCAAAAATTGTCAAGGATTAATATGAAATTGCATTAGGAACTAGACAGTAGAACAGAAGAAAAACAGAAGAAATAAAATGATTTTACTATTATCTTTTTTTTGGGAGGGGAGATTACCAACCCAGGAAATTACCAGCTTAGGGCAACCAATTTTTATGTTGTTTGCAAGAGACTTCAGAGAATAAAATGTAATTTAATCTTTAGATGCAGACCTGTGTGCTGGTCTCATTGGCCACTTAACTTAATCATGAAGAAACTTTATTATAATTTATAATGTTAGCTAAGAAACAATGAGATCTGGGAAAAGACATTGAGTTGTTGCCATGATTGCATAAATATCTACTAATTTTAATATTTTCTTTTAAAATCTTTATTCGTGTGCAAAATTTAATTTTGTTAATAGGCCTGAGAATTACTTTGAAACCTAAACAAGGTAGGATAGTAATAAATTTTTGGCATTCTCAAACTTCTTTATCTTGAAAACCTCTATATCTCAAAATTATTAAAATTCCCTACATCTATTGTCTAAAATCAATGTATTTTCCATGTTTATGTAAATTTTTTTTCTTCAAAACCTCTGTTTCTNACTGAATGTATTCTGTTAATAGGCCTGAGAATTACTTTGAAACCTAAACAAGATAGGATAGTAATAAATTTTTAGCATGCAGGAGAGAAAAAGGGTATAATTATAAGTTCAGTGTAAGTATTAGAAGATGATGGACGTTCAGATTTAGTAAGTGTTAGCAAGAGCTGAATCAACTTTAAAATCGAAATCTCCTGGGGTGTGCACCAAAATATTGTTTCTACTCTCTGCTTGTGGCATCACAGTTGGAGGGGGAGGGTTAGATTTTTAGTTGAAGAAGGATTAATAGAAAGATGTGGGCAGAAATAGCCATTCAAACCGATTGAAAACATGCTGTTTTGAAAGTGTTCGTCTTTGAAAAAAAAATCAGTTGAAAAGTAAGTTCACTTTCTTATTAAAGCTCATCTAAATACTTTCAATTGTTGCTTCTAATATATAAACATGATATTTTATGTTGTATTAATCAAATTAAAATGTTAAACTAACTGTATTTATTAGTATCTCAGTGTAACAAGTGAGCAAAATTTTTGTTTTGTGTTATATTTATTTAATTGATAAGCTTATTATAATTTCATTGTATACTTTATGAAATATTTGATGATGAAATGTAACTATATTTCTTAGTTCGAGCTTGTAAAACTTTTTCTTTAACTTCATCTGCCACTTTCTTGTAAAATGTGCTGTTTTTTTTAATTATTAATTTTATTTTTTATTTATTTATTTTTTTACTCTATATATTTTAAATTATTTTGCTCCAATGGCATATTTTTCTTCAATTATTTTATATAAAATATGTATTTATATCTCATTTTTTTCTTATATATTTTTGAAATATGTTTTTCTTTAAATATTTCATGTTATAAAGAAATGAATAAGTAGTTAGCAATATAATAAGCAGACAAAAATGAATGATTTGTGGAAGCAAACTAGATTTTTATTTTCTCATGAAATGTTCGTTCATATTTTAAGTTTAAATACTAACTTCGCCCTTTTATTTCTTATAAAATTTGCTAACATGTTTTAAAAATTACATAATAATTGAGATTAGAGTTTTAATTTTAGATTACATTTAAAGTTTTTTATTTTTAAATTTTAATTATGTAAATATAAGATTATTGAGTGCTATAATGTATTTTTCTCCTTTTATTACGGATAAAACCAATAGTTCCTATTTGTACAATTGTGTTTATTTTGTATATTTTATTATATATAATCTAATATCATTTATCTATCTATATATCAAGAATAACTCTGTTTTCGTTTGAAACATAACTTAACATAAACATAAGGTTGTAGTATGTTATGTTTCTTTAATAACCTTGCATGTTGTATTGATGATCAAGCAATAATATTTACACAAGTACCTATCTATTTAATTATTTATACATGTGTGCAGAATAATTGCTATTTAAATTATGCTGATTTTAAATTTTCAGTCTTGAATAATTCATTCATCTTTTCTGCTTTTAAGTTCTTGAAACACAGATTTAAGGATAAGTATCAACACTAATATTTATGCAAATACCTCTCAGTTGATTTAGCTATATAAATTATGTAAAAGAAATTAATTGTTTAAATTTTCTTATATTTATAATTTCAGTCTTGAATAATTGCTGTAGATTTTCTTATTGAAATTCTTATAATTACTTTGCAGCTTTATTTTGGTTTGCAGTTGAGTTTTGTTTAAAACATTATGCAAGTATACGGTCGAATTTTGTTATCAAATACTCTTAATAACAAAACAATTCTTGATAACAAATAATTCTTAAAATAACAAATTGCAATATTACCTGACATGTAATGTAATAATCAGCAAGTATCAAGCAACATTTATCTATCAACAAGTATCTATCAATTTAATTATTTGTACTCATGTATCAAAACAATTGCTATTTAAATTTTCTCATTCTTCCATTTTCAGTCTTGTATAGTTACAAATTACATTGCGGCTTTACTTTAGTTTGCAGTTTTAGTTTTGCTTTTAAATATGTTAACAGGAGGTCATAATTCATTATTAAGTTTTTTTTTCAGTTACCTGACATGTTATTATGTAATGAATAAGTAGCGAACAATAATATTTATACAAGTACCTATCAACTGATTTAACTCTATAAAATACATAAAGAATTGATATTTAAATTTTCTACTATACTTCTCAGTCATTAATAATTGTTGTAGGTTTTCTTAAATCAAGGTAGGTTTTCTTAAAATATAGACTTTACCTATATGTTTATTGCAAAATTCTAAAATATATTTTTAATGTTACTTTGTATCTTTATTTTGGTTTGTAGTTTTGGTTTGAGATATAATGCATCTGTGATCATGTATCTTATTTTTTTATAATATTGTTAGCTCTTTTTCTATTGAATTATTTCTTATATCTTTACATGTTATAATTTTCAAATAATAATATTTACCCTAGTAAATGTCTGTTTAATTATCTATGCAAAAAATTAGTCGACATTAAGTTTCATAATTTTATACTGGTTTTGAAATATTTTCTTAACTTGAGAACAATGTTGTTATTTTTCCTTTATGCATGCTGTTATTTGTATGTTTGTTTATACAAAAAAAAAAAAAAAAATTGACGGCTTTTTAATTTCTTCTTTTACATGTAATAAATAAGTATCGGGTTATATATAAGTATATGGTTGATTTTAAAATCTTATACTGGAATTATAAAAAAGAATTTACTGTTTAATTCTGACATATTCTTTTTTAAAGAAAATTTCATTCATTTTAATTTCTCTCTCCAAATCATTTTGCATGAAATGAATATGAAAAGCAATAAAATATATTTACATTAGTTTAATCACAGAAAGTAACTACTTNAAAATTTTAAATATTAAAAGAAAAATGATTTAACAATCCTGATTTACTCAATATTTTATTTAACAAAAGAAATATATAATATTCCAATGATTTATGACCATATCTAAGAAGGTTATTTATAATGAGAAACTTTCTGTCATGTCCACAACATACATATTGTCTTTAATTTGGTAATTTTTAATTAAATTAATTTTATTTCTTAAAAAGTCTTGTGATTTCTTTTATATAAATATACATTGAAATCTTACCTAAAAAAAAGTTGTCATTTATTTCATAAAATTCAGAGATTTTGGAGAATGTAGAAAAACATTCTAAAAACTACATTTTTCTGCGTCATGTCCGCAACGCTTCAAATTTTTATTTTAAAGCTGTTTAAATTCATTTTTATTTTTAAATATGCATTGGGTTAAAAAATGACATGTCTCCTGAATTTTATGATACAAAAACCAGTTACCTAGCTAAATTTTTTATTTAATTATTAGTAATCAAACTTCGTAAATGTCATGTCCGCAACATGCACAATACTGTGAAATCACCCTTAATTATCTATGTAAAAAATTAGTCGACATTAAGTTTCATAATTTTATACTGGTTTTGAAATATTTTCTTAACTTGAGAACAATGTTGCTATTTTTTCTTTATGCATGCTGTTATTTGTATGTTTGTTTATACAGAAAAAAATTGACAGCTTTTTAATTTCTTTTTTTACATGTAATAAATAAGTATCGGGCTATATATAAGTATATGGTTGATTTTAAAATCTAATACTGGAATTATTAAAAATAATTTACTGTTTAATTCTGACATATTCTTTTTTAAAAAAAATTTCACTCATTTTAATTTCTCTATCCAAATCATTTTGCATGAAATGAATATGAAAAGCAATAAAATATATTTACATTAGTTTAATCACAGAAAGTAACTACTTTAAAATTTTCCTGATGTTTCAAATTTTAGTTTCATATAACTAAATTTTTCTTATTTCAAGCTTTTTCAGCATAAGCTTTACCTATTTGTTATACATTTTTAAAATTACAATGCACTCTTAAAATTAAGTTTGTAATTTTAGACTAGACAATCTTAATTTGAAATAGTACATAAGCAGAGAGTTTTTTCTAATTCCTCATTGTCTTTTAAAATCATACCAATCATATAGTTATTTTATTGTAAGTTAATGAAATATACTGAATGTATTCTTCTTTTACAGATGCTACATACATGTTGTATACCTGTATGTCACTCTAACTGCAAAGGAGAGTCATGTACAAATATTACAAGTTTCTCAAAAGATCTAAAGCGAAGGAAACAATGTAGAAACTCTGTCATCAAAAGATTTCAAGTGACTGATTCTACAGTCATCTGTTTTAATAACTTTGAGAAACACTTCATTGAATGAGAGCATAAATCAATATGAGCTGATGGTTTGTTGCTTGTTCTACCCAAATACAGCCCAAAGAAGAATTACCTGCAGAAAGAAAATCTCCAGAAGAAAGAACTATTGCACTTAAAAAAAGAAGAGCAGGTGAATTTAAGCAATGGTTTGTAAAAGATAAAACTAAAGTTTTCAAAGAATTGAAACTGAATTTTGAAATGAAGCTGCTAGACTAGTGAATTGTATATGATAAAAGAGAGGATATTTTCATTGCTAAACCAGATTTATAAGCCTCTTATGTTTCTTATGTCAATATCCAAGGAACTAACTATTAAAGTTTGTCATCATTATGTCCAAGTTGATCCTTTAAAACTGAAATGACTCTTGGGAAATGACTCTTGTAAATGTCTCTTTTGGACAGCATTTGAGTGTTTACTAAGTCACTTGAATGGATATGAAAATGATTTTGGCAGTGATAATTTATAAGCTCAATTCATGTAGTACAGACTCAGGGCTGAAGGGAAGATAGAAAAGGCTGGTTCATTCCTTACTCAAAACTGAAGCTACAATTCCCTATCCTCCTCATGACATCAAGCTGCACACAGATCTCAAAAATCACATCTAGAGCATATGAAAACTTTGCTGTTTATACTTTCTGTAAGAAATTAGTTGAATGTTCTGCACTTTTCTGGTAATAGCTGTCAAACTTTACACTGCTAACAAATTACTTCTGTTCAAAAATATAGAATTCATACATTTTCTTGGTACTCCTAATAGTATTAAAAAAACATTTTAAAATTAGAAAAATATCTCAATAGTTGCTGTCATTGTTTCATTATCATTTTCTTATTTTAGTTTTTAATGTTTACTTTTAAATAATAGAAAGCATATAAGAAACACTTTTATAATAACATATCATCCAATAACAATATGTAACTACAAAAGTGTCCTTATAGTTAATTATAGGTAGGGATACCTAATTTTAATATATTTTCTTATCTATAATTATAATAGCAATTTATCTATATATATATATATATTATCACTAGGAAACAAAAATCTTCAATAATGACTTAAAAATATATTATGAAATTGGAAGAATTTTTAAGTATTAATAACTTTTATTTTTGAAGTTCAGGGTTTTATTTTCTTTGACTTAGTACATTTTTTTTCTTCTTTTCTGTTTAAAGTTACGAGACGGTATTGATTTCGATAGCGAAATTGAAAGTTCTTAAACGTCTAAACGAAAAACATGAAACATATTGCTTTTATTCACAGCAGTATAAATTCTTTTAGTACATTTTATAATTCATTTAATGTCACCTTTATATATTCTGAAATAATACATTGAAAATTACATTTTTCTCGTTTTGTGTTTTATAATAATTCTCATATTTGACTACTGCTGTTAAATTTTTGCAATCAGATGAGAAGAAAATCACCACAAAATAAATGAAAAAATTTAGAAAACAATGAATGTATTGAAATAAGTTTTAAAAAGATACTACAGTAGGAAACCGATTATCCGGAACAATCGGGACCATCGCTATTCCGGATAACTGATTTTTCCGGTTTTCTGAATCGCTACAAAAAGCCGTTTTTTTATTGTTAAACCCAACTAAAAAAAATTTTTTTTTGGAAATAATCTTAAAAAGAAGAAAAAACGATGAAGTAATTAATACACTAATGATTATTTCCAAAATGATGGTAAGGTAAACATCTTTCAAGAAAGAAAGAAAAATCCTAAAATCTTATGAGGAAAAATTTTTTTTTTTTAAATGGCGGGAAAACTTATCGAATTTCGTTCCGGTGTTTTGGTTTTCCGGTTTTCTGATTGCCGGATAACGGGTTCTGTACTGTAGTTGCATGCGAAACAATTTATTTTTAAGGCAAGAAGTTGATGCAGCACCTCCGTGACATCACTGACTGAAATCAGAAGCTCAGAGTGGCACGAGTCTTCTTCAAAGAGGTTACCTAGCCCTTCTATTTATTCTTTAGACTTATGCCAGACTGATGAGTGGCGGAAACAATCAAGTCTTTGTTACTCAATTTTTAGAATTTGAGCAAAATTTGAAACTGCTTAGCTTACTAACTTTAAAGTCGGCAAAGATAGGAACATTTAATATAAAATATTTCCTGCAATCTCTCTAAAATATTTCCTGCAATCTCACATCCTCTTTAGAGGATGAAAAGAGTGAAACTCTTTTTCCTGGTTTCTTTTTAGATGTTATTTTATCCTCTGAGATTATTCTCATAAATGACGACAATAAAAAAGTTTTGTTTTACAATGTCACACGGGTGGTTTCAGAATCATGCAATCAATGCAGATGCTCCAAATGATATTGAACAATATTTATGTGGTCTTCACTGGGAAGACTTAATTTGGCCTAATGATAGCACTATAATGTTGTGTGTTACTGTATGTATGAAATTTTTCAAACATGTATCAATGACCTATATGAATAAGAGTTTCTAAACTCTTAGGACCAACAATATTTACTTAGTTAATTGATAAAGCAAAAACTTCAGGATGATGGATAGAATTTTTTTTCTTCTTGCACTTGCAAAAAATTGAATGTTAATGCTATATATTCTTGTATAAAAGTTAGGTCGATTATTCTTTTAAATAATTATACTAAATTAAGGAATCATAAGCAAAGCTGCAAATTAAAAATGCTTACACTAGAAAATTGACTAAATGAAACATTTATAGATTTTATATCATTAATATATTTTCTCTCTGTGGCTTATTTTAATACTCAATTGTTCAGTATTTTTTGCTGTTTAAAAATTAAATACCAAATATAAAATAGTAAATGTGTTAAAAAGTGGAAAAAAAAGTAACCAAGCATATTCATATATTTTATTATTTTAATTGATAAAATTTTGGTTAAATAGTTGTTTGTTATTTAAAGTTTTTTTTTCCTAAATTTTTTCAGCTGATGAGTTAGTTTTTCTTTGTTGTGAATTTTAAAATTTGTTAGTTATACTTGAATTAAAGCAATTAATTAGATAAAGGGTGAAATATTTGTTTAAAAACAATTAAGGAAAAGGTAGTTTTCAAAATTGATGCCATTTGAAAAATTTAGAAAGCAAATAAAAAAAGGCAACAAGCATATTTATTTTTAATATTATAACTCATATAATTTTGGTAAAATATTGAAATGTTTTTTTTTCTTTTTCTTTGAAGTTTTCTTTCCTAAATAATTTTTAGCTGATTTGTTGGATTTTTTTTTATACTATGAAATTTGTTAAATATATTTGTTTGAAAATGATAGATTTGGGCGAAATATTTTTCATAATCATTTAACGAAAAGGTCTTTTTAAGAAATTAGTGTCATTTGAAAATGTAAAGGCAAAAAAGAAGTTATCAAACAAATTTTTTGCATACTATTTGAATCTTCATTGTTAATTTTTTATTAAATAATTTTATTTGATTTTTTTCTTTTCAGGTGTAATAAAATTCGTTAAAATTTTTTCTAAAATTTATATACTTGAATTTTGTAGCAAAGTAGCAATGTTTTATTATTTTTCCAGCCAAGAATTCGAAGTGAGGCATATGAAAAAAGTAGATACCTTATGTTAATTAACACCATCGAATTTCAAATATTTCTGTGTTTATTCCGTCAAATTAGAAAAATTTGAAATGACTGCTTAGTTTTTAAACTTATATCATTTTTCAGTACATATTGCACACATTAATTCGCTTAAATTTATTTCTGTTTATATATATATATANATATATATATATATATATATAAACTTAATTATTAGACAAAATATAAAATTTATAAAGAGAGGAATAAACAAAGGCCTTGAAGACCTAGCAAATGTCACTGATTTATAGAAGTAAGCTAAAAATATTCTCAATATGTTTAGTGAAAAAAACTTTTTATATCTATATTTCCTCTGTTATTTGTGAAATGTGTACTGTTGTAAAAATAGGAGCTGTAATTTCATTGTTTTTCCGTCTGCTTTGTTTAGCACCTTCATAATTTTTTATAAGCATTGCATTTTTAATGTTGTACAAAAATTTTATTTTTTCTGCAATTTAACAGCATTATCATGAATAAAATCACTGTCAAAATTAGTGTCTTTTTAGTTTGAATTTTAAGAGATGTTTGCCTAAGTTAGTTTATTTTTTGAGCAGGAAAAGATAACATTTTGAAAAAAAATAGTAATAACAACTGATATATTAATAAAAAATTGCATCATGTTTTAATCAATTGGATTTTATTCTTCCTGTAAAATATAATAATGTAATTTTTTGGAAAATAATTTTAAGTAATATCAAGCTTCCTATACAAAAATTAAAACATAAAATAATAATGTAATCTCTTGCTGTATTATTTACTTTTTAAAAATGCTTAGTATTAAGAGCGTTATAAAAAAAATAAAATATACTTTTCATTTAACATATTTAAAGTATGAAAGGAAGATCAGTAAAATTAGATATTCAGTATCATTATTTTACTGTAAATGATTGGTTCGTTTTGTAGACTACCTCATAAGAATTTTAAATGAAGTTTAAAATGCTTGGAATTTATTTTTCATGAAGAAGATCCATACAATTTAGAAACAAAAAAGGTTATCAATAAAATGCATATTTAATCAAAAAACATTTCTTTTCAATTTATGGAACTATTAACTTTAAAAATGCTAGCGAAATAAAAATCTTACTAAAATTTGTGCTCCTATATTTTTCCAATTCAAATATTTGTCCAAACTGTTTCCTGCCATTAAATATTTATATTTATAAATTAGCAAAATCCTAGATAATTTTTTTTAAACAGTGTTTATTTTAGAAGTCAAGGATGAAGTCTTAAAAAAAGTAACGTTTGTTTTTTCTTAGTGTAAAATTTGTTTTACCTATTTCACATAATTCATATGCAGAGCCGCGTTGGCTCAGGGGATAGAGCGTTCGTCTTTCAATGAGGTGAACCGGGTTGGAATCCCGGCGATGGCTGGTTGTTCTGATTTCCGCATCCGGGTTGACCACAGTGCTGACGTGAAATATCCTCAGTGGTAGACGGATCATGAGTTAGAGTCCCCTTGCCTTCAGGCTAACAGCGAGAGGTTGTCGTGGTCTTCCTCACCATGTAATGCAAATGCTAGTTAGTTCAATCAAAAAGTCCTCCACGAGGGTAAAATTTCTTCCAATACTTGATCCAGGAGTTCCTTGTCTTTTGGATTGGGTTCAAAAGTACAAGGTTACGTAGTTGAGCATTAGTAGCCGTAAACACAAAAATTGGGTCGGCTATTCAACGCTGTTATAAAATAAAATAATTTGTATGCAAATGAAATAAAAGAAAGAGGAAATTTATAAACTAAAATAATCCGAAACTTAAACTGAACAATAACAATATAACATTTTTTAATTTCGTCTTTATGTAACAAAGCACATATTTAAACATCTCAACTTTTTTTCAAGTAGACAATTTACTACAATTAAATGCGCAATTTATCAATCTAAATTTATGGGTGAAAAAAAAACGCTTCTGATATTCAAGAAAGACTTGGAAAAAATTCATCTGAAAGAAAGGAAGATGATCAAAGCATTTTGTTTTTTCGACCATGAACCTTGTCGTAACTCTCACTTGAAGGCTTGTATAGAAGGGTTTAATCCACGGTTAGCAGCAAGTAAGCAGAGGAAGTTAAGTTCGGAGTTTAAGTAAAGAACAGTCAAAACAATGGTTAAGTGCTCGGAAAACGAAAGTGTAAAAGGCTGAAATTTCTTGGCAATTAGGGTGATTACAGTTAAAATCAATAACAATAATTTGTCTTAGAAAATAGCAAATTAGAAGAGG